GGCCAGAGCCTCCCGTGCCCAGGGAACCCTTCCGGGGTCCCAGGGAGGAGGGGGTCACCGAGCCCGGGCTTGCAGCCCAGGTCCTGGGGGTGGCTTGCACGACGGAAGTGGGTCTCTCCCGGGTGGCCCTCACCTCACCTCACCTCACCTCACCTCACCTCACCTCACCTCACCTCACCTCGGATCCCTGGGCTGCCAAAACAAGCCTCCCTGCCGAGCTTTCTCGGGTGCCTTGTCTGGGCCGCCCTGACCTCCCGCCCTCTGCAGCAGCTTGGGGGTCTGGGCTCTGCCCCCCTGAACCAGTGGGTGTCTGAGGCTGGGCCGCTGTGGGGCGGGCCCGACAAGAGTGGGGGCGGCGGCGGCAGCCTGGGGCTCTGGGAGGACACCCCCAAGAGCAGCGGGAGCCTGGTCCGCGGCCTCGGCCTGAAGAACAGCCGGAGCAGCCCATCTCTCAGGTGGGTGTGGGCCCGGAGACCCCCGGGGCTGGGACGGAGGACCCAGGCGCCCAGGTGACCTCCCGCCTGTGACCCACCCGCCCCCTCAGCGACTCGTACAGCCACCTGTCAGGCCGGCCCGTCCGCAAAAAGACCGAGGAGGAGGAGAAGCTGCTGAAGCTGCTGCAGGGCATCCCCAGGCCCCAGGACGGCTTCACCCAGTGGTGCGAGCAGATGCTGCACACGCTGAGCTCCACGGGCAGCCTGGACGGTACAGGCGGGCGGCCCTGGAGGCTGGGCCGGTGCCGGGGGCTCCAGGCCCTGGCCAGGTCCGCTCTGACGCCCTCCCTGTGCCCTGCAGTGCCCATGGCTGTGGCGATCCTCAAGGAGGTGGAGTCCCCCTACGACGTCCACGACTATATCCGTTCCTGTCTGGGGGACACGCTGGAAGCCAAAGAATTTGCCAAACAGTTCCTGGAGCGGAGGGCCAAGCAGAAAGCCAGCCAGCAACGGCAGCTGCAGCAGCAGGTGAGCCCCCACGCGGCGTGCTCTAGGCTCGGGGGTGTGGCTGCCCAGCGCGCCGACACCCCTCGTCTCTGCGGCCCTAGGAGGCGTGGCTGAACAGCGCCTCCCTGCAGACAGCCTTCCAGGCCAATCACAGCACCAAACTCGTCCCCGGAGAGGGCAGCAAGGCCAAGAGGCGGGCGCTGATGCTGCACTCGGACCCCAGCATCTTGGGTGAGCGGGGCGGGGCAGGAGCTGTGCCTTCCCGGCCGGGGCAGGGGCCGCCGGAGGGGGCCTCAGACTCGGCTTCTCCCCCGGCTTCAGGGTACTCCCTGCACGGATCTTCTGGTGAGATCGAGAGCGTGGATGACTACTGACCGGCCCGTCTCCCCAGCCCTGGGCTGTAGGCCAGGGGCAGCAGCGGCGGCGCGGGCCCTCGGGTCCCCAGCCTGCAGGCTCCCCCCGGGAGCAGCGGAGGAAGCAGGGGCAGGGTCCCCAGCACTTGCTACAAACCACACGATGCACCTTAACTCACCCACCACGAGGCACTTTACAGACTGGGGGGAGGGGCTTTTTTAATTTTAAGCGACTGAAGAAAACGTTAGGAGACAAAAAACTACCGTTAAAAGCTAGACTCTAACACCCGTTCTCTCTGGGGATAGTGGGTGTGACAGTGGAAGGTCCACAGAGGTTTGTTTTTGTTTTTGTTTTTTTAAGAAAAAAGGAAAATAATGGAAAAAAAGGCTGAAAGAAAAAACACACTGTTACTTTGGGGCAGTGGGACACAGGCCCTATGGACCGGACCTGCCTGGCCCCCGAGACTGTGCTTGCCCTCCTGCCCCCAGAAGCTGGGCCGTCGGGGTGACGAAGCCGGGGTGCCAGCAGTTTGCACAGCGAGCCCCCGGGAGCCCCACCAGCCGGACCCGCTGTGAGCAGCTTCCGTAGCTGCGGCTGGTGGAGGTGTCCGGGGTGGGGGCCAAAGTCGCCCCTCGGCTTCGCTGCTTTGGGGAAAGTTGCACAAGTTGGACGAGCCACCTCAGCTCCCCAGGCTGCCATCCTGCGCTGGCTGACGGGTGGGCGGAAGGGCTGGATCAATGCCAGCCTCGTCTGGCTGGCAGGGCGGGGCAGCAGGACTCGGACCTCGGCCCTGGCGAGGGGTCTCCCCCACTGCTGCCATTTAGGGGGATGCCCTGGTGTGAACCTGGAAGTCCCGGCTCTCCGCCTTGCCACATGAATGTATTCTTTGGGCCCCAAGCCCCCGCCTCGCCTGCCTTGGCCTGCCTCCCCCCTGCAAGAGGCGGAGCGGAGTGACTCCTCCAGGAGCTGGAGACAGAAGGCCCGCTGAAGGGACTGAGTTGTTTCTCCTGTGAAGGGCGCGGGAGGAGGGGCCGCGAGGACCAAGGGGCGGGCAGCCTGGGCTTCGGGCTGCGGCGAGGGGCTGTCACCAGGGACTCCTGGCCTGCCGCCGGCTGCGTGGGGTGCCCACCGCCCAGCTCTGCGCCTGGTCCCTCTGCCGCCTCCGTGGATGCGTTTCTTGGCGTTGGGTGCGGCTGGGGCGGAGAGTCGAAGCGTGCGTCTCTCCCGGGTCAGGGAAGGCTGCCCTTTCTGTTGCTCACTGACTTCTTCCTGATCTCCTGCCTGGGTTCGTCTCCATCCGTTTCTGTTTTCTAGTCGTTTCTCTTTTGGGTTTTTCATCTGACTCTTCCCATCGACCTCATTGCTCAGAGTGCAGTATTAGGGCAAGACTCCGCCACTGCCCCCCCCATGAATGTATTTATCCTTCCTGCCCTGGGGAAATGGGGAGCGTCCCGCTTCTTTCCCCATCTGTCCCCAGAGATGTGTTTTTGTTTTTGTTTTTGCACCAAAGTGGCAACTGGGTCAGTGTTGGGGGATCAGGCTGGCCTCGGGGTGGAAGGGCCCTCCACCCGCTTCTCCCTGGTCTTGACAGTGTTAGCGTCCGTGAAAGACAATATTCTCTCTAAAGCAATAAGGGGGCGATGGGCCGGGGGGTGTCTTGCTGCTGCTGGCCCCAGCTGCCCCTCCCTGGCGCCGTGTCTGGCGGCTCTGGGGTGTGGGAGACTCCTGCTGACTGAATGTAACTGCCCCGCCTGCCGCAGCCAATGCAGGGGCGGGCGGGACACCTTTCCTGTCTCTTCCTGCCCCCCCCAGCTACAGAGACGTTGGACTTAGGGGGCCCGCGAGCCTGGAGAGGCCTTAACCCTGTGAGAAAGTGTAGGGGGAGCCCTCTCCCACCCCCATCCCCTTCTGAGAGTGGTCAATGTTTACAAGCCCCTGAGCGTCCCAGCCCAGGGGCTCTGACCCCATTGCTGTCCTTCCCCCGCCAGTTGCCCCGGGCCTCCGCAGCTCCCCGGCCCAGGGGCCGTGGCGGGCGCAGGGGCTGCCGTTTCCTCGTCTGCCTTGTCCCCGTCTCCCCACCTCCACCTTGTGTGACTTCCCTTTCTTACAGCTGCCCCTGTAAATACTCCCTTCCCCAATAAAACTTGGTGTGTGTTCTCCCCTTCTGCCTCCGCTGCTGTCCTTACTCGGGGGAAGGGGTCTTGGGCACGAATGGCACGGCTCAGGCTGGGGGCGGTCGCAGGTCCAGGCACAGGCCGCTCTGGTCCCCCAGCCTGGCCAGAAGAGGCCACAGCAGAGGCCCTGCCTGACAGAAGCAGCCTGCCCACAGCCTCAGCTTTGCCCCCAGGAGAGTGGGTCTCTTCTCTGGCCACTGCTGCTTGGGGGCCCCTAGCCCACTTCCCCACCCACCCCCGTCTGCCCCCAGGCAGCAGAGACCCAGCATGAGGAAGACATAGGCAAGGATGGAGACCAGGTACAGAGTTGGAATTGGCTCCTTTATGGAAAAACTGAAAATATAATAAAAATTAAAATAAAACCAGTTTTAAAAAAGCCAGCCCCTGGAGTTTCCGCCTCCTGCCTCTGGCCTCCAGAGGGGTGAGGCCCCGAGGCCAGGGCCGCCCGAGGACGAGGGCCTTCCGCCCCCTCCTCTCCCCCCATCCCATCCCCTCTTTATCTCCACAGTGGGGGCCCCCGGGAGGAACCAAACCTGGGCGGGGGAGCAGGGACCCGAGGCCCCGTGGCCCGGGGAAGGAAGCTCGGGTCACCCAGCCCCAGAGCTCCCGGCCTGTAGTGTGGGCATGGGCGTGGGCAGGGCCCCTCCCGGCCTGGGCCCAGCTGGGGTTGGGGCAGTTAGTTCCAGATCTTGAGGAAGGAGTCCCAGGAGCCTGTGGCCACAGCCATGCCATCGTCGGTGACCCCGAGACAGCTCACACGGTTGTCGTGGCCCGCAAGGACACCTGGGAGGGAGGGAGGCATCGGATGGGTCCGACCTGGGCTCCTCCCCGCCTGCCCCACGGGACACCCAGGGCTCACCTGCACGGTCACCCTTCATGGCATCCCAGATGTTGCAGTTGAAGTCGTCATAGCCAGCAAGCAGCAGCCGGCCGCTGCGCGAGAAGGCAACAGAGGTGATGCCACAGATGATGTTGTCGTGGGAATACAGGAGGAGCTCCTGGTCAGCCCGCAGGTCAAACAGGCGGCACGTGGCATCGTCAGAGCCAGTGGTGAAGGCGTAGCCGTTGGGGAAGAACTGCAGGACGCAGGATCAGGGTGGGATGAGGGGACCCTGGGAGCCTGGCGGGGCGGGGCGGGGCCGGCCCAGCTCACCCCAGAACTTACAGCCACGGCGTTGATGTCGGACTCGTGGCCGATGAAGGTCTGTCGGCACATAGAATCCCGCACGTCCCACAGCTTGATGGAAGCATCACAGGCGCCTGACACAAAGGTGCGGCCATCGGGGGCCAGAGACAAGGACATCACATCCCCACTGTGTCCAGCAAAGCCCACGGTCTGCTGGCCTGTCTCGATGTCCCACAGGGCACTGGAAAGGCGACCAGAAGAAACAAGAGATCAGAGCCGGGCTGAAGGACAGAGTTCCTGCCCCCGCCCGCCTCCCCACGTGAGCCCAGCCCTGGCAGAGCTCACGTGGAAGGGGCCGCGGGAGCCTGCTCTCGTCCCAGGCCGAACGGCCTTGGGTGCGGAGGGACTCCAGCCCCGGCCTGGGCGCCCGGCAGAGGAGAGGCCAGGGTGTGTGCTGAGCACCGGGGGCGGTGGGACCCAGGGCAGGAGGCGTGCGTTCGCCCAAACGCCCGGCTCTGGCAGAGCTCCTGGCTCAGGTCAAGGTGCTTTCGGCGGGGAGCGGCCCCAGCCCCCGGGGGCCCAGCAGAGGGGAGAGGCCAGGCCGTGTGCCCAGCACCGAGGTGGTGGGAGCCAGGGAAGCAAGTGTGGGTTCACCCAGACTGTCCGGCGCTGGCAGGACCTCACCAGGTGGTATCCCCAGAGCTGGTGATGATCTGGTTGTCATCCAGGAAGCGGCAGCAGGACAGGTACCCTGGGGAAAGGAGCTGGTCGGCTGGGTCCCCAGGCCCCGCCCTCCCCTCGCAACAGCGTCCGTGCCCAGCGAGGCCCCGCTCACCAGTGTGGCCAGGCAGCTCCCGGCTGACCCTAACGTTTCCCTCTCGGGTCTTGAGGCTGTAGATGGAGCAGATATTGTCCAGCCCCCCACAGGCCACAAAGTTCCCTGAGGGCGCGTAGGCACAGGTCATGACCCAGGAGGAGCGCAGCGGGATGGCATGGACCTAGGGAGGATGGGCAGCCCGGGGTTGGAGCCGGCCGGGATCGGGCGGCTCAGTCCTGACCCACCCGGGCACCACCTCTACCTTGTTGGTGGTGTAGCTGTCCCAGATGATGAGTTTCCCATCCTGGGAAGCGCTGACCAGCAGCCTGGGGAGAGGCAGAGGGATCTTGCTCTGGAAGCAGAACACCCTCTCTGTCTCCCTCCAGGCGGGGGCTTTTCTGAGACCACCTCCGGCAGTAGCCCCGAAGTTCTACCACCCTGCGTGCCCAAGTCCCTTGGGCGTGTCTGGGAGCCACAGTCGACCCAGACACGCCTCAGCAGCGTGGAACCCTGTCCATGCCCCGGGGCCTCCAAGGCTGCCCCCGACTGTGCGTGCTAGCCATGAGCACATCAACGCAAAAGCTCGGCACAGCGCCCAAGCCAGCCACACGTGTACCTTGAGTCTGTCCCCCAGTGCATGGCATAGATTTTTGCCAGGTGCCCACGGAGGGTCCTTCGTGTCCTCATCTGGATTCTCCCCACTGGGTCCAGCCCAGCTGTGATCTGGAGGGGGCGGCAGAAGGGGCTCAGGGCAGCCCAGGCAGCAGCACACCTCCCGCCTTCCGTCTTCCCTTCATCCCCCAGCCCCGGATTCGCCTCACCTGGGTCAGTGTCGAATCCCCACATGCTTTTCGGGCATCCTGCGGGAGATGGCAGCGCCAGAGATGCCGGCGAGAAGACCGGCGGGAGAGGAGAGGGAAGGGAGGAGACGGGATGGGGAAAACGAGAGCGTGAGGTCAGGGGA